TAGGGCATATTCAAAACATTGAACAGTTGTGTGTGTTTGTGGATCTTTGGAGAATTGTTAGAACACATACATTGTGTGAAATGGAGTCACTGCTGAGAGAATTTTGAAAAGTTTTGATTACTTTGTAATAAGCCCAAATATCCATTATGCCTTATTGTTCTAAGTTTACATTTTAGACAGATACTGCTGATTAAACTCTGCACTATCCACTGTAGATACTGAATCATAAATTAGCCTAAGGCCTTAAAATGTTATTAAACAGAATTTCAACTCAGCAGTTACGCAATGCTCTGACCAATGGGCTTTTATAGATTCTTTATTTCTTTTTAAGAAATGTGATGTGTACGATGCACATCTCCGTTGGTTTTAAGAAATGTAAGCTGGCTTTTGGAGGAGATGCATTTTGGACTAAGAAAGTGACTTCAATTGATTTTTAGTAACTATTTCAGTCAGCACTTTGAACTGCTCTTAGGTACCTGGTGCCATTATATCCTGTGGTCAATAACTTTCCCTTTTTTGTGGCTTACTTCACAAATTAAGAAACCTTTCTGTCCATTGTGTATGTATATTTTATCTCTGGTCCAGCAGAGTGCTGGATACCTAGTAGATTCCCAGTGGAGGATTATTTGAAGAGTCAAAGATGTTGATAAGGCCCAGGCATTCCAAAGTCTTTTACTTGACTTGGCTTAAAAAAATGAAGACTCAGATAGATAAGTTCCTAAGACTACCCTCTAAAACAGCAACCCTCCAGGACTCATCTCACACCCTGCCTTGTTTTTCTTCAAAACACTTTTCCCCCACCACCTGATACTCTTCCATGGGGATTTAAATACCAGGAACCCTTGTTTTGTTCATTGTTGTATCCATCCCTAGTCCCTAGCACCTAGTAGGCATTCAGATGTTTTCTTGTATAATGAAGGTTAGAAATTGTGCCAGATGCCTAAGGGATATAAACAAACACACATCCGAAATGGACTCAGCCCTGTGTACACAGATAACTATAGTACAGGATGGATTCAGATGACTAAGAGAACCTCAGTGAAAATGCTGGGGATATTTTAGAGATTTATTACTTCTAGCTGGCCTCTTTAGAGATGACATTTAAGCTGGGTCTTATTTCTGACTAGGGATTACAGATAAGCAGAGGCTCAGAGGTAAGAAAGTGAATACATATAGTAGTAGCACATATAAGAAAAGGTAAGGTATTCAGTTTGTCTGCAATATACTAGTGAATAACTAAGAAGTCAGTTAGAAAAATTGGTTAGATCCAGATCAGTGGAAAGTCTTAAAGGCAAAGCTGAGATCTGGGTTTTGTCCCATTGGCATGGTGGAAATTGTTTTTTCCCCTCCTCAAAGGGTAATTATATGTGGTATGGTTGGACATCCATAGCAAGAGACTGAAGTTTAAATTATGGAGTTGATAGGTAAAGGTAGCAAGGGGTGCATGTTAGAATAAAAATGTAATTGAGGTAGGACTGGCAACAAATGGTCAGCAAATTGACAAATAAGATATGGGAAATAAGGAAATAGGAAGAAGTCAAGATGGGTCCAAGGTTTTGAACCTGTGGAAAGTAAGATGGTGTTGTTACTAAATACAGAAATGGAGAATGTGACGAAAGAACAGATTTGAGAAGGAAAATTAATTTTGAACATGTTTCTTTGAGAAATGAGAGAACACATTTGAATGGAGAAATGTGGTAGGCACATGGAATGCTGCCAAGGCCTAAACTTTGGGAATCATTTGCAAAGTAGTTTTTTTTTTTTTTTTTTTTTTAAGATTTTCTTTAATTAATTTTGGAGAGAAGGGAAGAGAGTGAGAAAAACAGCAATGTGTGGTTGCCTCTCATGCGCCCTCTACTGGGCACCTGGCCTGCAACCCAGGCATGTTCCCTCACTGGGAATTGAACCAACACTTTGGTTCGCAGGCTGGCACTCAGTCCACTGAGCCACACCTGCCAGGGCTGCTAAGTAATTTTTAAAGCCTTGAGATTGCAAAGAAAGGGTCAGAGGGTAACGGGAAAAGAAAAATAGCAAATTCTTAAGAAATAGCTCTACTAAAAGAATAGAAAGAAAAGCCAATGGAAGAGCAAAAGCAAGTAGGAGAACCAATGGAGGACAATATTGGAGAAACTAGGGCAAGATATTTTTAGGAAGAAGTAGGATTCAAACCTGTTTCTTCCAGAAAGAGCTCTGTTTTAATGTTGGAAGTCGTGATATGTATTTTTTCTGTCATATTATACATTATTCTGCTGTACTTTTTAGCACAGTTTTTTTACACATAGTAGGTGCTGACAGTTTAGCGTATTTTGAGAGATTCGTGGACTCTCATCTGCCTATCTTTTAAGAACGTTTGGCAGAATGTTGTATTAATATTGAGGCTCAGTGCACTGTGCTTGCAGTCTGGTGTCCTGCTGAAATAGTAAGTAAAGTCTTTGGGAATAATTTGTGCTTTGAAGATTTGCTACCAGGTTATCTGATTCAGAATTCTCTGTGATAATTCTGATCTTTTTTCTTTTTCTTTTGAAATAGCAAAAATCCTAATCAGCAGTAATCGAAGGCTCTCAAAGTGCAAGTAGGAAAACAGAAATGGAGTTTAGGCATTAGATAAGTGCTTGCATTTGAGCTATTTAGCATATAAATTATTTTAAGACTATCTTCAAGGAATATTAATATTTATTATTTTTGTAGGTGCTTTCAGAAAACAAATAGGAAACTAGAAAGAAAATAACTTGCAACAAGTACAGGAAGACAAGTATCAAAAAACTGAAGCTGATTTGTTGGCATTCTTAATTGAAAGATTTCAGCAGGATTTTGCAGAAAAAGTCAGGGCAGAGAGAATTGGTTACTTTGGTACAGCATTTTATCCAGGAAAGTCAAAGGTGGGAATGATGGTGACTCTCCAGTATAACATAAGAAAAGAAAAATCTATACTAAAAATAATTTTGTAAGTCAGTCCAATTGGATCGTGAATTTACTTGAAATTTTATGGTCCACTTGTATGACAAGAGTAGACTTTTGAGTACACAAATATTAATTATTGAGGAAAGGGAAAATAAGCAAGTGTAATCAGTAGATGTTTTGGTGTATAACAATATCTAAAGCATTGATACCTTGTTTTTTGTGACAGTACCATTAAAGATAAAGGTAATCTGCCTAAAAGACATACCTAAAAGTAGAGCTATTATCTGGTGTGTTTAATTGATACTGTCTTTATAATCACATCGGTTATTAGAATGGAGTTAACTAATTGTTAAAATAGAGTAGTAGCACATACACTGATGTAGAAATTTTTACATAGTTTGGATGTTAAATTTTACATAGTTTGGATGTTAACATTTTATTTTTGTAAAGTAAGAGGAGTTTTTTGTAAAACCTGATTTAGTGAAAGTATTCATTAGGTCTGGATATTTAAATCCTTTTTATTGATAATTTTAATTTGTATGAGTTATATATTTTTTAAAGATTTTATTTATTTATTTTTAGAGACAGGGGAAGGGAGGAAGAAAGAGAGGGAGAGAAACATCAATGTGTGGTTGCCTCTCCCCTGCTCCCTACTGGGGACCTGGCCTGCAACCCAGGCATGTGCCCTGGCTGGGAATATAACCAGTGACCCTTTGGTTTGCAGGCTGGCACTCAATCCACTGAGCCACACCAGCCAGGGCAGTTGTATGTTATTTTTGTTATCCAATATAGCTTATGCAAAGCAGGAAATGATATATTTTGCTTTTCTAACATTTTCTCTTTGAGTTGAGTGGTTATAGCAGTGTACACATTCTTATACTTACTTATTTGTTGAATACTCTTATATGTCACCCTAAAATAGTAAATTTGTTAGTTCATGCTCAGGGTTATTGGGCCTGATTAATTTAAGATTCAAAGCCTTAAAATATATTACTGTCAAATTTCTTTTTTCTAATTTACCATACAGCCTCATCTATTTGAATGGAGGGAATAGGAGTGGACCTGGTGGATTCAGCAGACTTTCTGCCATTATATTTACATCTTTCATATGATATTAGGCCAAAAACAATTTCTAAAGCCCTTCTTTAAACAAAGATAATATCAGAGTGCAGCTGACCCTTGAAAAATGCAGGGGTTGAGGTGCCTGGGACCCCCCTCCCTACCCCTCACTCACACAGTCAAAAATCCATGTATGACTTCCTCCTAAGACTGAACTGCTAATAGCCTACTATTGACTAGAAGCCTTACTGATAACATAAGCAGTTGATTAACACAGGCCCTGGCCAGGTAGCTCAGTTGTTTAGAGCTGTGTCCCTATGTGTCAAGGTTGCGGGTTTGATCCCCGATCAGGGCATATAAAAGAATTAACGAATGAATGCATAAATAAGTGGAACAACAAATCAATATTTCTCTCTCCTCACCCTTCCTCTCTCTTTCTAAAATCAATAAACATTTAAAAAAAAAACTACTTAACACAGATTTTATATGTGTATTGTATTCTGTATTCTTATAATAAAGCTAGAGAAAAGAAAATGTTAGGAAAATCATGAGAAAGAGAAAATACATTTACTGTCCTACATGTATTTATTGAAAAAATTCTGTGTATATGTGAACATGCACAGTTTAAATCCATATTGTTCAAGGGTCAACTGTATTAATACTGTCAACAGCACATTCCTTCTCATCTTCCCTAGATTTATGTATCTTTGATAATAATTGGCCTAAAATATATTCGAAGTTTTTTTTTTTAAGTCTTCACCTGAAGACAAGATATGTTTTTATTGATTTTAGAGCAGGGGTAAGAGAGAGAAGAGAAACATTGATTGGTGGCCTCCCAAATGCACCCTGACTGGGGATTGAACCCACAACGTTTTGGTGTACAGCTTGATGCTTCAACCAACTTGAACACCCAGCCAGGGCTGAAGAGAGTTTTTATAAATGTATTTTAATGTTCATATATTATATACCTGGTGAATTGAGTACATTTAAGACAAAAATAACTTTATGTATTTAATTATTGTACTTATGATCATTTGTAGGCGAAACCTTACCAAACTGTCCCTGATCTTCAGCCACATGCTGGCAGAACTGAAAGGAATCTTTCCAAGTGGACTCTTTCAAGGAGACACATTTCGAATTACTAAAGCAGATGCTGCAGAATTTTGGAGGAAAGCTTTTGGGGAAAAGTAAGTTCTCAAAATAATGAATTATAAAGAACTAAAGCTTGTATTGTGAGTTTAGTGTTTTACTAATGAAATTTTAGAACAGGAAAACATAGAGTAAAATAATGACTCTTTGTGTAAATATATACAGCTTTGGTAAACCTAGACTCTTTTTCTTGCCTTTTTTTTTAAAAAAAAAGAAATAAGCCTTCCCTTTCTTTCTTTAAAAAAAGAAAATGGCTGGTGTGGCTCATTGGATTGAGTGCCAGCCTGCGAACCAAAGTGTTGCTCGTTCTATTCCCAGTGAGAGCATGTGCCTGGGTTGCAGGCAAGGTCCCCAGTAAGGGGCATGCAAGAGACAACCACACATTGATGTTTCTCTCCCTCTTATACTCCCTCCTTTCCCCTCTCTCTAGAAATAAATAAATAAAATCTTTTTTTTTTTTTTTAAAGAAATAAGCCTTTGTCAATTCAGTTGAAACCCATGCTCTTTGAAAACTCTTCCTCTCCCTCTCCATTATACTTTTCATTGACAATCATGTTTCAGATTACTTGCTATTGCAAACAGTGTTGCAGTGAACAAAACTTTATCTTCATTTACAAGAGTTTCTCCATATTCACATATGTAGGAGTGGAATCGCTGAGTTAGGGGGTTTCACATCTCCTGCTTTGCCAAATTGCTTTCGAAAGTGGTTGTATCAGTTCATATTCCTGTAAGTAGAACACGGGTTCCAGAAGCTTTGCAATTTGACCAACACTGGCAATAGGAATTGATACCATATTTGGTTTGTATGCCTAATTACGTGAGAGATGGAGCATCTTTTCACATTTATGACTAGTCGGGATTCTTATTCTGACTTGCCTGTTGCTCTTCCTGACTTACCCATTTTTACCCATTTTGCTGTTGAGCTGTCTTTTTCATTTTCTAAGGTACTAATTATTTGTTACATTACAAATATATTCTGCTAGTCTATGGCTTGTCTTTCCATCTTGTTATGTTGTCTTTTGAAATAGTTTTAAATTACATAGATTCATGAGTCAAGCTTATGTTTTTAAGTATATTAATATAAATGTTGTTACATATCTGAAAATTTTTAAGAATTCCTCACCTGAGGATATATTCACTGATATTAGAAAGGGAGGGGGGTGGGAAGTTGAGGGTGGGGGGAGAGAGAAATATCGATCAGTTGTGTCCCATCCATGCCCTGACTGGGGAGTGAACCCACAATCTAGGTATATATCCTGATAAGGGATCGAATCTGCAACCTTTTGGTGCACAGGAAAAACTCCAACTAACTGAGCCACCTGCAGAGCTATATCTGAAATTTTTTTATTTTTAAAGATTTTATTTATTTACTTTTAGATTGAGGGGAAGAGAGAGAGAAAGAGAGGGAGAGAAACATTGATGTGCTAGGGACACATCCATCGGTTGCCTCTTGCATGCCCTCAACTGGGGTTTTGGCCTGCGACCCAGGCATGTGCCCTGACTAGGAATCGAACTGGTGACCCTTCAGCTCACAGGCTGGCACTCAATCCACTGAGCTACGCCAGCCAGAGCATCTGTATTTGAAATTTTGAATCAGAGAAATGAAAAAGGTAGAAAACAATACAATTTCTTAGTTGAATATACAAATCCTAATGTGTCTCTTTCAATGTCACCTTTATTTTTTTTAAATTAGGTTTACATATAAAATACACAATAATGAGGAATTTTTAAAAAACCTAATTGAAGAGGATGTCAATAAGTTTAAATTTGTTCCTTTAACTTAATAACAACATTAGAAAAGAGTTCAAAACACTACTTGATTTTCAGGCAAGCAAATGCATAAGCTTTTCAAAGGCTTTATTTGTTTTAAAGATCTTAAGAAAGAGAAATGCCATAATATCTTTTGCTAGCCTTATCTGGGGTTTAATCAGTCTTATGTTCAATAATTTCTCCCTCACCTGTATCAGAACTCTCTTTTTCATGTACCTTAAGCCTATTTCCTCCTGTCTAGTCCTTGATGGTGTGATTTCCTCAAAGAACTCACAATGTTGTACATGGTTTTAAAAAATTAGCTTAAACATAGGCTTTCAGTTAGTGAAGGTTTGGCCCATAGATCACATTTATTATATAAAAAGAGTACTCTCACCTTTCTTTCTATACTTCTCTATTAGAACAAATGTCTGAAGAAAGATGAGAAAGAAGATTAATTTGTGACATTCTGCCAAAGAACAGTGGAAAAAGGCTTCTATTATTAATATACTCACTAGGAAGTTAAGAAGTTTATAATTTATTTCCTTTCTGTTCTCAATCCAAAATATAGATCAGCTTCTTTAAGTGCATTGAAATTGGTATCGGGAGCTTAATGTGGCTATCATTTCCTTGATTATAGCAATGCCCAGAATTATCTGTTTCTCACTCTGTGCCTTCTCACCCACCCACTTCATCCCAGGACAATAGTCCCTTGGAAGAGCTTCCGACAGGCCCTTCATGAAGTACATCCCATCAGTTCTGGGCTGGAGGCCATGGCTCTGAAATCCACAATTGATCTGACCTGCAATGATTATATTTCAGTTTTTGAATTTGACATCTTTACACGACTCTTTCAGGTAGGATACTAAAATGTTGGTTAAAGTAGGTATTGCTGCTGAAGAGGAAGGTTTAAAACTTAACATTTTGGATTTAGCCTATTATAAAAGTATTTGAATTCTAGAAACTATAAGCAAAAAAAGATTAAAACTACTTTGTGCTTATATTTCTATATAGGTATAGAAATATAAAAGCATACACAGTGTTTTTGGGTAAAAATAATAATTATGCAATCTGCTTTCTTCCCCTCACATTTATAATCATTCTTTGTTATTATATTCTTCTGCAATTTTTTTTTGGTTGAAACAATTTTTAATATTCATATACAAAAGTGAGCACTGAGTCTTTTTTATTATCTTAGACACATTCAGGTCTAACAGCCAAAATGTGCAGAAGCAAGCTCGTACTCTGCCATCCACAGTACCATTCTGTGATTTAAGCCGCTGCCAGCCCTCCCTCTTTTCCAGCATACAGAGAAATTTGCAGTGGCTGCTTTTACACTACAGCTGTACGACATTTTGTATTTCATATAGTGTGCACATCAAAACAAAACAGTTGTTAATGGTCAGGGGTATGTCCTTCCCAATGGCCCCCACAGTGAGCTACTGAGGAGATCTTCCAGTCGATTTAGCAAAAGATGTGGGATGGCCAGAGCCTGAGTAACGATCTGCATTGCCACACTCTGGTATCAGAAGACAGAAGTAGTAAGTCAGGATAGCTTGGAGGGCACAGTTGCAAGTAGGGAGTCTCTCCATGAGACAACATGGGGAAAATTCTCCTAACCAGATTTAGATAGGTCAGTGTGCTCAAGTTTAAAAAAAAATCAGGAGTTCAAACACTATTGAATATTCAAACTTCTGCCAAGACAGGTCAAGTAATAGCAGTAACAATCTAGATCTTTCCAGGAAGTGAAGGTAGAGCCCCTGGCATTCTTCCTGACAGCCCTGTGTTAGGCCCTAGAAGGAGCTGCTGCTCCTGTAGTTGCTGCTGTTCCATCTGCAGCTTCTCAGTGTCAAAGACAACAGGAAGAACCAGGATCATGAAGGAAGTTGTCCCAATTCACAAGGCTGCCCTGGAAACCTTGTACATTTTTTGAGCTACAAAGAAGGAGAGCTCAAAAGTAGCTCTGGCCACAGACTGGATCCTCTCTAGAAACAACTCCGTCAGACTCCAGAGTCTCTCCAACCAGGTTTTATTTGGTTCCTCATCATCTTCCTTTTCCACCTGCTCCTCAGTCCTCTTGGCATCCCTTTTTGGAGGCATTTGTTCTGGAGACAGGGGAGCCCCAGGACTGATAGCAGAGATGGCTGTGCCGTGGCTGTACGGGGACCTGCATCATTTTAATTGTTGTAGAATGTCCAGAAAATGGGCATATAGTCATGTGCTACGTAACAACAGGGATTTCTTTTTGAGAAATGCATTGTTAGCCAGTTTTGTTTTTGTGCAAACATCATAGAGTGCACTTACACACACCTAGGTGGTATGGCCTATACACATCTAGGCTATGATAGTCTATTGTTGCCAGATTACAAACCTTTATAGCATGTTACTGTACTGAATACTGTGGGTAGTTGTAACACAGTGGTAAAGTATTTGTGTATCTAAATATAGAAAAGGTACACGAAAAATAAGGTATAAAAGATAAAAACTGGTACACTTATATGGGCAACTACCATGAATGGAGCTTGCAGGACTGGAAGTTGCTCTGGTGAGTCATTGAGTGAGTGGTGAATGAATATGAAGGTCTAGGATGTTAATGTGTACTTCTGTAGATTAAAAACACTATACAGTTAGGCTATATTAAATTTATAAAACAGTGTGAGACTAAATCAAGCACAAAAGAAAATGATACCTTCAAGATATGTGGTAAACACAAGAGGTGTGAGGCTGCTACTGGTATGACAAGGCATACTGTTTTACAGCACTTTTTTTTATAAGTAAAAGAGTACACTCTAGAATAACAATAAAAAGTATCGTATGGTAAATATATAAACCAGTAATGTAGTCATTTATTATCAGTAGCAAATACTATGTAGTGTTATAATTGGGTGTGTATACTTTTATGTGACTGGCAGCACAGTAGATTTGTTTACACCAGCATCACTACAAACACATAACGCAATGCACTACAATGTTATGATGGCTATGTTGTTCGTTGGTGATAGGATTTTTTTTAGCTCCATTATAATCTTAATGGGACCACCATGGTATCTGTGGTCAGTCATTGACCAAAACATCATTATGCTGTACATGACTATAATGTGATATATTTAATCAGTTCTCTATTGTTGGACAATTGTGTATGTTTCCAACTTTTCTTCTATTTTACTGAAATTTTTGACTTCCAATCAAGATGGAGGTGTAGGTAAACACAGCTTGCCTTCTTGCACAACCGTGGCAAAAATTACACTAAACAGTAAAACAACTATCACCCAGAATTGTCAGAAAATCAAGCTGAATGGAAGTCTGACAACCAAGGAATTACAGAAGTCATATTCATCAAGATGGGTAGGATGGGCAGAGACACAAAGACAGAGACATGGAATGGGCAGTCCCATACCCACGTATGGTGGGTAAACATTGGAAGGGATACCTCGGGAGCGAGGGATCCCAGACCCGCACCAAACCACCCAGCCCAAGGTTCCGGTGCCAGGAAGATAAGTTCCCATAACTTCTGGCTGTAAAAATCAGTGGGGATTGGGGCAGAGAAAGAAACTGTGGGATTCTCAGGCGTCTCCTATTAAAGGGCCTACAATGGACTTGGGACTTACACAGACTCACTCCCTCTGGGCTCTAGCACCAGGGCAGCAGCTGGAAGGACATCTGTGGCATACGGGGAGAAACTGAAGTGTCTGGCATCAGGGCGAGTGCTGGGGGACAGCTTCCTCCTGGACACCCCAGAGGCCAGGCAGCAGCCATTGTCCCTTTTCTGGGCCCTCCCCCACACAGAGCCACACAGTGGCAACACCATATCTGAGACTCCATCAACCTGGTTGACACAGGTTGCCCTACCCTGGCGAATACCGAAGGTTCTGTCCCATCCAACTTACGGGTGCGCTTTCCTACGATAGGCCACGCTACCAAGACAGGGAGTCAGAGCAGCTCTACCTAATACATAGAAACAAACACAGGGAGGCTGCCAAAATGAGGAGACAAAGAAATATGGCCCAAATGAAAGAACAGAACAAAACTCCAGGAAAGGAACTCAACAAAATGGAGATAAGCAATCTGTCAGATGCAGAGTTCAAAAGACTGGCTATTAGGTTGCTCAGGGAACTCACTGGGTACTTCAACAGCATAAAAAAAGACCCAGGCAGAAACGAAGGTTACACTAAGGGTAATGAAGAAAAATTTACAGGAAACCATCAGTGAAGTGGATGGAGCTGAGACTCAAATCAATGATTTGGAACATAAGGAAGGAAAAAACATTCAATCAGAACAGCAAGAAGAAAAAATAATCCAAAAAAAAACCCCCAAAACAAAACATAGTGTAAGCAGCCTCAAGTAATCCAACATTTGCATCATAGGGGTGCCAGAAGGAGAAGAGAAAGAGCAAGAAATTGGAAATCTGTCCAAAAAAATAACAAAGGGAAACATCCCTATTTGGTGAAGGAAATAGACATACAAGTCCAGGAAGCACCGAGAGTCCCAAACAAGGACGCAGAGAGGACCACACCAAGACACATCATAATTAAAATGCCAAAGGTTAAAGAGAGAATCTTAAAAGCAGCAAAAGAAAAACAGAGAGTCACCTACAAAGGAGTTCCCCTAAGACTGTCAGCTGATTTCTCAAAAGGAACTTTGCAGGCTAGAAGAGACTGGCAAGAAGTGTTCAAAGTGATGAAAAGCAAGGACCTACAGCCTAGATTACTTTCTCCAGCAAAGCTAACATTTAGAATTGAAAGGCAGATCAATTTCTTCCCAGACAAGGTAAAGCTAAAGGAGTTCGTCATCACCAAGCCATTATTATATGAAATGTTAAAGGGACTTATTAAGAAAAAGATGAAAACCAAAACTATGAACATTAGAATGGCAACAAAATCACAACGGTCAACAGTGGAATCTGAAAAACAAACTAAGCAAACAAGCAGAACAGAAACAGAATCACAGATACGGAGATCATTTGGAGGGTTATCAGGTGGGAGGGGGAAGGGAGAGAACGGGGGCGGGGGGGGGGGGAGATGCAGGGATTAAGAAGTACAAATTGGAAGGTACAGAGTAGATGGGGATGTTAAGGACAGTAGAGGAAATGGAGTAGCCAAAGAACTTGGATGCATGACCCATGGACATGAACTAAATGGAGGTATTGCCAGAGGGAATGGGGGAGGGCAGGAGGGCACAAAGGGGAAAATATTGCTATTATACAGCTGTAATAGTATAATCAGAAACTTATTTTTAAAAAAGAAGTTCTTGACTGTTAATATTGAGATAATGATGCTTCAAAAAGAACTCAAAGTTTTGTCTTTTTTTTTAAAGATAATGTGTGTGAGACAACTTGCATAAACCTTTGTTTGGATCTTCTTAGTTGCACATGTAGTCCCTGCCTTATCATGTTCTTTTGTTTATTGTTATTTAACCTCACTACTGTTAGGTTTAGAATATTTTGATCTTCATTTTGTAAAGTTAAGTTTTCCCTGTAAGGATATATTTGTTTCTTCTTAGCTTTTTTAAATTCTTATCTCCCAAACATGTTTGTCTTCCCTCAAAGTGACAGTGCAATTGAAAGTTTGTGACAGTAAATGGAGAATTTATAATTGAGAATTGTGGTTCTTTGTCACTCTGCGAATGGTTGTATGTCTTGAGCCAGATGGTCTTACTGATCTCTTGTTTCCTTAGCCCTGGTCCTCTTTGCTCAGGAACTGGAATAGTCTTGCTGTAACTCACCCTGGTTACATGGCCTTCCTGACATATGATGAAGTAAAAGCTCGGCTCCAGAAATTCATTCACAAACCTGGCAGGTCAGTGCCATGAATTAAAGGAGCCTACTCTCCTGAATTTTATTTTCTTATGCTCTTTGTTAACTCATAGGAGAAACAATCTTTTATTAGTTTCCCAGTGGCTGTGTTTCTGCAGTTTATCAGAGGAATTGACTGTTTATCAGAGGAATTAACTCATTCAGATCTGATGATTTGATAAATACTTTCAGGCCACTTCAGAATTGGGCTTATGTGTCTTTTTCTTTTTTTATGCGTCTGGAGTCATTGAAGAATCTGTTAATGATGGTCCTTTTGATTTTTGTCCCTGTGGTACCTTCTACCTTAACATGAGCTTATCAAAGAATCTTTTTATCTCTATTCCCAGTTACATTTTCCGGCTGAGCTGTACTCGCCTGGGTCAGTGGGCTATTGGGTATGTCACTGCTGATGGGAACATTCTCCAGACAATCCCTCACAATAAACCTCTCTTCCAAGCACTGATTGATGGCTTCAGGGAAGGCTTGTGAGTACATACCGTTTACCATCTGCTAGAGTCTAGGAACTTAGGCGCTGCAAAACTTCATCGTTAATCACTCTATTTCGGGTTCCTTCTACAGATTAAGATTCAGGGAACATATTAACTGTTTATATTGTTTTGACCTTCAGGTTCTGTAGAATTTCTGTTTTTACTTAAAAGGGATTCCTTGGGTGAAATAATTTTGTCTACTGGTTCATTTATTACTGAGTAAACTTTGTCATTTTCCTTTTTCAAATGTTAACTTATATTCAAGTCTGTGTCAGATGTAAAATTATACCAGTTGTCAGAAAATGTTACCAGTTATTTAACTAGTCAACATTAGAGTGATTCGATTTTTGTTCCTTATGACAGCAGGCTCAGTGGCCTTCATCCTGACTTCACACTGGTTCCGCAGCGTTTCTTCAGGCTTTGGGCTCTTGTAATTTATGCTAATATTTATAACTAAGTTCTTATTTATTCCAGAATTGCTATTCCTTTGGGAATTCAAATTGATTGTCAGTTGGTAAGCACTGAAAGTACTAACAGTTGACCAGGTATCAGAAAACTTGCATTTTAAGGTGATTAGGGAAATCCATTATCCATTATGCATTATCTTCTACAGTAGCATTAGAGTTTCCCCAAATGCCAGAACAGGTCGGTTTTAGAACCTTCCTGGTAGATGATCTGAGTAGCTTAATTTGCTTCCTGTTATATTTCTTTTAAATTTGTGTCTCTCAATGTTAAATCTGTAAAAAAGGGTGTTTCAGGTGTTTGATCAAAGAACAAATGCAGTTTGCCTTGGCTAGGTAGTCATCTGGTTAGCGTGTTGTCACCATATGCAGGGTTGTAGGTTCAATCCCCAATCAAGGCACATACAAGATTCAACCAATTAATGCATAAATCAGTGGAATAATAAATCTTTCTCTCCTTCCCTTCCTCTCTCTTTCCTCCCCTCCCCCCTCTTCCCCTCCCCCCCTCCCCCTCCTCCTCTCCCCCCTCCTCCCCGCCACCCCTTATCCATGTCCTTCTCTCCCTTCCTCTCTTCTCTCAAATCCATACGTTGAAAAGAAAAAAGTCCCCGGCTGGTGTGGCTCAGTGGGTGGAGCATCGTCTCATAACCGAAAGGTTGTGGGTTTGATTCCTGGTTGGGCCACAAGCCTAGGTTGTGGGTTCATCCCCGGTCTGGGTGCAGGCACTTGTGACCCCTGGTCTGGATGCATACAATCCCTGTTTCCAGTGTGGATCCTGGGTCTGGGTGCTTATGAAAGCAACCAGTTGATTCTTCTCTCGCATTGATGTTTCTCTTTCTCCCTTCCTCCCTCTCTCTACAAAAAGCAAATGAAAATGTCCTAGAGTGAGGATAAAAAGAATTTTTAAAAAAAGAAAATTCTGTTTAAATTAAGAATTTACACTTTGTGACCATCCAGTCTAGCTTTTTTGGCATAGCTTGCTCTGCCAAAGCTATGCCAAAGAAAGATAAATTTTTCTTTTTAAAGTGTTGTTTAAAAAAAGAAAAGAATATGTCACATAAGACTTTTATGGCTTGCAAAGCCTAATATATTTACTGTCAGTCCCTTTAGACAAAAAGTTTGTAAACCCCTCGATTAAAAAGATGGAGCCTGTGGCAATGTACCCTGTAGAAAGAATATCAGTGTTAGGAGAATATCTTCATGGAACTGTTCTGTGTTATTTGGGTTTTGTTTTTTTTTTAATAATAGTAAAATGTTATCTTTGCACTTTCCCAAAGTTGCTCTTTTCAGTGAGGGAATCCTAGATGTTATTTGTCTATGTTAGCAAGCAGTGATCAGTGGCTTCAATAAAATCCCAAGGCTGATTACTCTTGTTACAGCTATTTGTTTCCTGATGGACGGAATCAGAATCCTGACCTTACAGGCTTATGTGAACCAACTCCCCAAGACCACATCAAAGTGACCCAGGTGAATTTTGTTTTACATTATAACTATATAACCACTAGAGTCAAGCTTTAGTATGGACTTAATAGAACTGACAGTAGAATTGTACTAAGTGATTGGAACACTTAAATTTTAAACTGTTGACTAGATTAGTGAATTTATGTTGCATGTGGTTTTTCTTTAAACCATGCTGCTTAAAGTAAGACCAGGATGAGGTGATTTCTGTTATATCGGAGAGCATTGACCACTGCTATGAAACTTTTCTAAAAGCAGAATTTGTATAGACACTACAAATAGTTCTTTAATGTTTCCATTTTTAGCATTAATGGCTGCAGTCATTCATTCATTCAACAAATATCTGAAATAGGCTGAGTAATCTTGTATTTTTTTAAATTAAAGGAACAGTATGAATTATACTGCGAGATGGGCTCCACATTCCAACTGTGTAAAATATGTGCTGAAAATGATAAGGATGTAAAGATTGAGCCCTGTGGGCACCTCATGTGCACGTCCTGTCTTACATCCTGGCAGGTATGGTCCAAATCATGCATTTCCTCAGCTATGTAATCACTCTGAAGAACAGGGGATTATATATGGCCTGGTTTATGGGGTAGGTTTTAAATTTTTCTTTTTTTATTTTTTTTCATCTCTAGAAAATGTATTTCCTAGTGGATGACTATATTAAGTACTTTCAGATGTGCCTGTTACCATCTCCTGTTTTCTCTGCAGGAATCAGAAGGCCAGGGCTGTCCCTTTTGCCGATGTGAAATTAAAGGTACTGAGCCCATTGTGGTAGATCCATTTGATCCTAGAGGAAGTGGCAGCCTATTGAGGCAAGGAGCAGAGGGAGCTCCTTCCCCAAATTATGATGATGATGATGATGAACGAGCTGATGATTCTCTCTTTATGATGAAGGAATTAGCTGGTTCCAAGGTAAGACTGCAATGTAAGATACTGTGGCAAAATCTGTTATGAGTTGTATTCTAAAGCTATAGAGCACGTAATGACATCCAAAGTACAAGGAGTAATAATAGCTAATATTTATTGAGCATCTACTATGTCAGAGATACCATGTTAAGCACTTTTCCTATTTTAATGCATATAACCCTCTGAGTAGATACTATTATCATTTAACAGATGATGAAACTGAGGCACAGAAAGGTTAAGGTATTCGCTGAAGGTCACACGGATAGTAAGTTGAACCAGACTCTGTGGCCAGGCATTTTGACTTCAAGGCCCAACCTCTACTGTCTATATCCTAAAACTGGGCTTTACTCAGATAGCTTGGTGCAGAAAATGAAGGAGAATAAAAGAATTGGTCCCTATTTTGCTACTGTGACTAGAATATTTTGTTGTCTTTCTTCTAATGGAATCTGGGCATTAGAAAGTTAGCTTTGATGGGGAGAAAAAAGGCACTGTTAATAAACAAGTAAATGGCAACTTAAATGATTGCTGAGGGGTAGGAGATACCATGTAGAAACTAAACAAACTAGAAAGGCCCTAATAAAGATAAGAGAGATGAAGGCTAAAAAAAGGGTGTGATCAAATTCTGCCACATTGGATGGTAGGGTAAAACAGGGATTTATTCTCTAAATCTTAGAAGTCAGTCAGTCCATGTAGATTTTAGTAAATATAGGGCAAACAAAAGATTCTGATATGCTGCGTATTATCTAGCTTAGAATGTTAAAAATAATGTGGTGCATTTCCTTGGTACAAAAGAAGCCAGCACCTGACTGCCTGGCACATACTAGGTGCTCAATAAACATTGAAATCATTAATTTTATCTGTTAAATGATATCTGTCGTATCTTCTCCTCTGTGTCCTTAATGCCACCACCTTATTTCAGGTTCTCATCATCATCTGTTCTCCCTGCTACCAGAGTCGTTGATCTACAACACAAATCTTAACCACCTTATTCTTTTACTTCACACTCTTTGATGACTTTTCATTACTTAATGGGTTAAACTCATTCTCCTTTCCAGATACTTTGCACTCATAATCCTTTCCACTTCATATTCTGAGGTCCTACAAGGCTGAACCTCCTAAAATGTCACCTTTTGTCTTTTTTAAAAAAAGTTTTGTTATTTTATATGAGGTTTTTAAACTTATCTAAATTCTGTATTTTTTTAAAAATTTTATTTATTGTTCAAGTACAGTTGTCTCCATTTTCCTGCCTCCACTTTCCCCTGCCCCACCCACCCCGCAATCCTTCCCTGCTTTGGCTTTGTCCATGGGTCCTTTATACATGTTCCTTGACTTGACTTTTCCCCTTCTTTTCCTCTTCTCCTTTCGTCTTGGTAGCTTCCATGTAATGTAGCTGTTTTCATTTCCTAGGAAACCTTTCCAGACTGTACTCTGCTTTCCCCACCCCTAACCCACTCACATGTATTTGTACACATATAATCTAGGTTTGGCCTGATGTTTCTGGGATGCTGTGAATATGTCTGCCATAGAACTTACCACCTTGTAAGAATTTATTAAGCATATTTCCCTTTGTAAGTTCCTAGAAGGCAAGAGCCATGTCTCATTTGTAATTAGCTACTCAACATTGAGCACATAGTAATTACTTTGAATATTTGGGAATTGAAAACACTAAAACAGGAATCGATAAATTTATTTATGCTATATCAATAATGGATAGTTGAGGAAATCTGGACTGTTTGAATGCTACATTTTTGTTTTTTTGAAGTTAATAGTAGATTTGGCCCCTTATATAGGCTCTTTGATTTTTTTTTGATAGATTTATTTATTTATTATTTTTAGAGAGAGGGAAGGGAGGGAGAAAGACAGGGAGAGAAACACTGATGTGTGATAGAAACATTGATTGGTTGCCTCTCACATGCCCCCAAGCCAGGGTTCTGACCCGCAACACAGGCATGTGCCCTAACAAGGAATCAAACTAGACCTTTCAGTTTGCAGGACGATGCCCAACCTACTGAGGCACACCTGTCAGGGCTGGTTCCTTTGTAAGAGATTCATTTAACCACAATAGCAGTTTTATGTTCTTGCATAGATTGCTATTTGTTCATTCGTGAAAATTTACTGGCTACTCCTGGACTATTAGGGAAGCTGAACAATAAGAAGTGATCTTTAATATATGTATGTATTTGAAATTAAAATACTGTTTTTTAATTTTTTAACTTTTATAGATGAATTAATACTCATTGTGGAGAAACTGGCACTCGCGTTCAGTGTTGATGTGGGTACAAATTAATTTAGTCTTTTTGGAGGACCATTTGACAATCTGTCAAAATACATAATCTTTGCAGTTGGAATTAGCAATTCCATTTCTAAAAATTTATCCTTAAGAAAAACTTAGACAACTCTGGCTGGTGTCATTCACTTGGTGGAGCATCATCCAATAAAGCAAAAGGTCGCAGGTTTGATTCCCAGTCAGGGCACATGCCTAGGTTGCAAGTTTGGTCCCCAGTTCGGGGTCTTTGAGAGGCAACCAATCCATGTTTGTCTCTCACAGTTTCTCTCCCTTTCTCTCTCCTTTCCTTCTCCTCTCTCTAAAGTGAATGAGCATGTCCTTGGATGAAGATTTAAAAAAAAAAAGAAAGAAAGAAAAGAAACATTTAGACAAGGTCACAAAGCTATAGGTGTAATTATTCTTACAGCATTATTTCAAATAATAAAAAATTAAGAACAACTCACATGTCCACATATGTAAGTATTCTATTGCCATAACAAATTACTACAGATTTAGCATCTTAAAACAACAAATTTATTCTCCTACAGTTCTGTAGGTCACAATTCCAACACATGTCCCATTGGGCTAAAAACTCAGGGTGTTAGCAGGTCTATATTTCTTTCTGGAGGCTCTAGGGAAGACTCCGTTTCCTTACTCATTTGGATTTGGCAGAATTTAGTTCCTTTCCAGTTATAGGATTAAGTTCCCTTTTCCTTGCTGGTTGTGAGCTGACCTTATTCCCAGCTGCCAGAGGTCAGTTTCATTCTTTGGCTCCTGGACTCCTTTCCTCCTTTAATCTTGTCTCTGATGTTCTCTGCTTTTAAGGACTCAGTAGCTAGATTGGGCCCACCCCTGGTAATCTAGGATAATTCCCTCAATCTCAGGACCCTAACCTTAATCACATTAGCGAAGTTGCCAAATAAGGTATCACACTCACAGATTCTGGGTTTTAGGGTGTGAATCTTGTGGGGAGGGGGCTTAAGGCAGATCATTCTGCCCGTTATAGTCTATATAATGGAATGCTCTGTGGAATGAGTTCAGCTTGCATGTACTTGGGAAGAAAGCTGTCTAATGTGCTTTGCTTTAAAAATAACTGTATACTTTGTTTAGTTTCACCTTATTTCTGTAAAAATAATTTGGTTATAAAAATTTTTTACATTCATATGGAAAAAATTGGATGACTACACCGCAAATTACTGTTATTTCTGAGATACAAGTTCAGAGGACTGTAATTTTATGGAAAATTTGAATTTTTTAAAATTTGCAGTTAACATATTGCTTTTACAAGGTGTTTATTGTGCTAGCTAAACTTTGTTTTGAGTGCTGTATGGGATAAGAAACCTAAGACAAAGGCCCACAAGAAGCTAGTAGTTTTATTTGGGAAGAGAATATATGTGTAGGTGAAACACTATTTAACACAAGGCTGACAGTATACATTGGTTTCAGTTGTAGAGTACATACTTATTAAGTGCTAAAGGACTTTAGAGGAAAGATGAAAATGAACATTTTTTCCATAGCTGGTAAATATGAAAGATACTAAATTTACTCATTTAAATAAAAGTAATAGCCCTGGCTGGTGTGGCTCAGTGGATTGAACACTGGCCTGCGAATCAAAGGGTTGCCAGTTGATTCCAGGTCAGGGCACATGCCTGGGTTGTGGGCCAGGTCAGGTCCTCAGTAGGGGGTACACTAAACGCAACCACACATTGATGTTTCTCTTCCTTTCTTTCTTTCCCCCTTCTCCTCTGTCTAAAATAAATAAATAAAATCTTTAAAAAAAAAAGTAATAAATGTACACTATAGCCCCCTGGCCTGATAGCTCAGTTGGTTAGAGCATTGTCCCAGTATGCCAAGGCTGCGGATGCAATCATCCGGTCATGGCACATAGAAGAATCAACCAATGAATGCATGAATGGGTGCAACAACAAATTGATATTTCTCTCTCCCTCTCTCTCCCTCCTTCCCTCCATCCTCCTCTTCCTCTGTCTAAAAAAATAAAAAAGAATGTATGCAGTAAAAATTCAAGTAGAGAGAAAACAGCTTCCTGCATTGTTACTTAGTTGTTTGGTAATTTAGTCTTTTCTTAATGGACATTTCATACTGTTTTCAGAGGTATATACATGTTGGTATTCTTTTGCATACCTAACTTTAGGGTAAATTTCTAGCAGTGTAATTGCTGGATAAAAATTTTTTATGGAAAAATTTAAACTGATAGGGTGGAGGAATATAATTAGGGGCGGAGGCACATGGAAATTTCACAAAAAAAGTGGTACTTCATTTCTTAGCTGAGTGATAGGTACTGTATGGGTGTTTTATTATTCTTTGTACTTGATTGACAGTTTGTATAAGGTAAGAATAAAACATTTGTATGAATAAAATATTTGAGTAAAAATATTTTACTCCTCTTAATAGATATTAAAATTTGTCCCCAATTTTTGTCCTAAAATCACTCCTAAAGGTATAAGAGACTATGAAAGTGCCTGTTTTGTCACATCCTGATAGCTATTGATTGTTGTTTTGTTACTGTTTGTTTTGTTTTCATTTGTTTTTAATATAGTAAATCTACTTTTTAAAAATTCCATTTGATAAACACACGAAGTTTTTAAAAAGTTTAAAAGAATTGCTAACAGGCTTACAGAAACTTTGGTTTCCTGCCTATAACCCTCCAACTGCTTTCTGTGTTCCATATAGATTTTTCAGCTCTAAAAACTGTTCCTTAATCATAGGCTTATACTGCTTTTTCTTGATTCTTCAATATTAGTTGTCTCTTCACTTCAGGTATTGTAGAAATGGATTTAGATCTCTTATTACCATCTTCCTTTCTACTCTATATGTTCCCACTATATTTATCTTACTGTTTTTGGCTAAATTGATGTTCAGTGTTTAAATGATACTGCTTTCCAATGTGCCAAATAATATATTAACTATAATGTAAATACTTTTGTTTTTCCTGGGATAATTGCTTTATTTTTATTTCCTTAAATTTCAGTTTGTACCTATCAGTGCCCAGTGTTACCATGCCATCAAACGTCCTCTCAATATAATTTTCTAGAAAGTAAATTGTATTAACATTCTAGTATATATTAGGTTGGCCAAAAAGTTCAATTGGTCTTTTCTGTAAGATGGCTCTAGTAGTACTTAGTTGTCTTTAACTTCATTTGAAACAATTTTGTTAGATTATATTGTGGCAGCTGTCATATCAGCGGTACATTTAAGAAAACATCAAAATTGGTGAATTTTTGTGCAGCCATTTTAATATTGAAGATGGAAGAAAATATGTAACATTTTTGGTGTATTATGCTATAAATTTCTTGGTACTGTTGACATTTTGTCCAACTAATTCTTTGCTGTGGGGCTGTCTTATGCATTGGAAGATATTTAGCAGCACTCTGGCCTCTACTCACTAGAAGCCAATAGCAGGAGATAGCTGACATACTCAAAATATCCAAATCAATAAAATTATTGGTGAAAATTTAAAATATGTCTTTATTTTACAGACTTTTTGGCCAACCTAATCGTATACTAATATAGAGGAATCTTCCATGTTTCAGCTCCAGGCTGGACTGGTTATTCCCTGGGTGTCTTGTATCCCCTGTCCCCCACTTAGGTATCTCCTTGCCATCATTATAGGACTTCATCGCCTCTACTGTATGGTGCAGTGCCTATTTCTTGGCTCCCATGTTTTCTTTGTGCTTTGCTTCCTTGTTTGAGTGGAATATGTCCTCAAAATAGCTTTCTGTGAAAAGTATGAGGTAAATTGTTTGAGATGTTTGTTATCTTAAAATGTCTTTATTCAACCCTCTGAGTAACTATAGAAGTCTAGGTTGAAAAAATTCAACTCTAAATTGTTACAGCTTCACTTGATTTCTTGTTTCTAGTGTAATTTTGCTATTTGGTACCCTCTCTCCCCAGAAGCTTTTAGGATATTTTCCTTATCCTTGATTCTTTGAAAATGTAAGGGTGTTTTAGCAGGGTTTGTGTGTTTGTTACAGGTTCCTTTCCTTCACTGGGCTAACTCTGCAGCGAACCCTTCTTATATGGATATATATACTCTTAGGTCTTGGAAATGTCTTGTATTATTTCTTAGATAATTTCTTTTCCATTTGTGATTTTCTTTTTTTGGAACTATTGGTTAGGAATATTGGGGAATATGATTAGCTTAACCCTCTGCAGTTTAGGAATGAGAAAGAGAGATGGTGCTGCGAGGAATCAAAATAGGTAGAGAGGGCCTTTCATGTTGGGAAGCAATTTGAACAAAGGCAAATAGGTGGGAATTCCAGAATAAAGAGTGATGGGAAATGAGAGTTACTGATGGATGGTTTTGAGCTAGTGAGTATTTAAGGTGAGCAAAAGGATTTGGTGAGATAAAAAAGTAGAAGTTGGGGGAATCACTAGGAGGCAGTTTTAATAAATCAGGCCCAAGATTGGTAAGTAGAATGAAATATAGGTAGGAGATTCTTTTATGGAAAAATTAACAGGGTACACTGACTGACTAGAAATTGATGGTGAAGTGAGAAATAGCTTGACTAATAACTTTTCACTTTCTTAACCTTTGGCATGTTTAGCTGCTCATATTGCATTGCTCATGCTCCATTGACATGAGACCCATTTTCTTAAGCATGAGTAAAAACAAGTAGCTAATGATTAGGGCTTTCTTTACCCTCATTCACCACCCTGCATTAATGACAGGACTAAGTATGGGGTGATTGTTTTTCTGTCATTCTACATAAGTGCTTGTAATGCTAATTTACCTTTATTCCATCTGTATTTTCTCTGTTAGAGAATGCAAATGTGAAGTAGCATTTTGTGTGACTTGCTGTATATCTCTTTACAGTTACTTGGACAATTTTACCAGCTGTTCACCCTGTTACAGGCAAAGAAATGGAAAAGGTTATATATGTATTGTTTCTTCTAATTTGGCACCTCATTTTTTAGAATACAAATTGACAGAAAATATTAATCCCTTTAATTACTGAATTGAAATAACTTATTTCTTCAGAAGGACTCAGTATGCTTTTTAGAGATATTATTGCTTTTTTTTTCTTCTTATGAAGCTCTTTTTTTCTTTTTATAATAACAACCCACAGAGAATCTATCGTCTTTGATTTCCTTTCATTGTTCTGCCTCTTAAACATTATTTTCTCAGATGATATGTTGAGAGGTTAATGTCTGTTCCTTTCTTTTTATGTAGGTTTCTCTTTGTTTTGTTTGTTTATCCTCACCTGAGGACATGCCCATTGATTTTAGAGAGAGGGGAAGGGAGGGAGAGATAGAGGGAGAGAAACATCAGTGTGAGAAACATCGATTGATTGCCTCTGGTATGTGCCCAGACTAGGGGCCGAACCCACAACCTAGGTATGTGCCCAGACTAGGGTTCACACCTGTGACCTTTTAGTTTACGGGACATTGTTCCAACCAAATGAGCCACACTGGCCAGTGTTGGGTTCCTGTTTTTAATATTGAAAAGATTTTTTTCTTTCTCTGAAAATGAGGAGGTGGAAAATTGTAATTTTTTTTAAAAAATTGTAAGCTAGGAAGCTTTTTGTAGCACAGCCATTTCTGATGTGCTACAAAAAGCTTCCTAGCTTACAGTTTTTTTTAATTGTAAGCTTTATGGTATTTCTGTGATTGAATCTGACTTCTTGTGACATGAAAATAATTCAGGAAGTGCAACCCCAGGCCAAGGTCTGGCCCATTTGTAAAGTCAGTGTTTATGTAGTACTTTCTGTCTGCAGCTTCAGAAGGAGTTAAACGATGCCACTCCCCAAACAAGAATAATCTGTTAGGAGATTTTCTTTGTGTTAGGTGGAGCGGCCTCCTTCTCCATTCTCCGTGGCCCCACAAGCTTCCCTTCCCCCAGTGCCACCACGACTTGACCTTCTGCAACAACGAGTGTCTAACACTTCAAGTGCTTCTGGTGTTGGAACTGCTTCTAAGGTAAAGCAGTATCTATTTGTACAGTTTTCAGGTTCTTTGTTGAGGGTTAGTGGGCTTTGATTGATTTGCTTCCATCCTGCTTCCACAGGCTGTGTCTGGCTCCCTTCATAAGGACAAGCCATTACCAGTACCTCCTACGCTTAGAGACCTTCCACCACCACCCCCTCCAGACCGGCCTTATTCTGTTGGAGCTGAAACCCGGCCTCAGAGACGGCCCTTGCCTTGTACACCAGGCGACTGTCCATCCAGGGACAAATTACCTCCTGTCCCATCTGGCCGCTTTGGGGAGTCATGGCTTCCTAGGCCAATCCCCAGAGTACCAGTAGTTACCCCAAACCTTAGTGATCCTTGGACAGGGAGAGAATTAACGAACCGGCACTCACTTCCATTTTCATTACCCTCACAAATGGAACCCAGAACAGATGTGCCTAGGCTCGGAAGCACATTCAGTCTGGATACTTCCATGGTGAGTCCTGATTTTTTTTTTTTTTTAAGAATTTATTTATTTTTAGAGAGAAGGGACGGGAGGGAAAAGGAGAGAAATATTGATATGCGAGAGACACATAGAACAGTTGCCTCTCACATGACCCAACTAGGGGCCTGTCCCACAACCCAGGCGTGTGCCCTAAGTGGGAATCGAATCAGCATCCCTTTGGTTCACAGGCCATCATTCAGGCCACTGAGCCACACCAGCCAGGGCTGATTTTGAAATTATTTAGCCTATGAACAAATATTGTGGGTAACATTTAATGGATCAGCATTTTGTGATGGATTTTATGTAGGATTCAAAGATCATATAACATAACCCCTACTCTGAAGAAATGTATATTTTTATAGAGCAGTTAAGGCATTTTTTAAATACAGTAAATGTGTATGTATACACATGTGTGCATGCATGTGCCATGACTAGTATAAATAAAAGACACTTAAATTTTAGAGAAAGGAGAAATTATTGCCAGATAAAGCAAACATTGAGGGCTTTATGGAAAGAGTGACATCTGAATTTGAAATACTTTTTCCAAAGCGTGTACATATTTAAGATAGATCAGAGCTACAGTGACAGAAGTGCTTAAGTTGTGTTGTAAAATGAGAAGTAGTTTGAGTAGAGCAGAAATTGTGTGTATCAAAATAGGAAAAGGGGGCTAGATTAGAGGGCCTTGAATATCCCCTTCCAAAAGAATTTGAATTTATTTTGTAGGAAATGAGGAACATTTGAAAGTTTTAAATTAGTGGAGTGACATGATGAAAATGATGATTTAAAGAGAAGACTCCAATAGTAGTATGTAGAATCGATTGGTAAGAGAATAGATTGAAAAATGACAGGTTGGGGTCCATTGTATAAGCATGAGATAAGAGGTCAGAACTGGGAATGGGAGAGGTATATTCATATTTTTGTTGGTTCATTTATGCACTTGACACAAATCCCTGCTCTCACAAAGTTTACATTTTAGTGGAGGAAAGACAAAATAAATAAAATAAGGTAATAAACATATGAGATGTTGCACATATGAGTGCTGTGGGAAAAAAATTGCACAAAAAGTGGGGGTATTGGGATAGCTGAGCAAAGACCTGGAGCAATCCGGACAGTGAGCCATGCTAATTCTGGGGGAAGACCATTCCATGATGAAGAGAAAAATGAGTGAGTTTGGGAGAGTCTGTTTGAGGATTGACAACAGGGTTTAATATAGTTGGTGCTACATAATCCAGAAGGAGAATAGTTGTCTTTGAGAAGGTAGGGGCAGCCAGATTAGGTAGAGCCTGGAGAGGGTAAGAAACAAAGACTCAATAAGGCTTGAAAGCAGTCAGTGGGTATGAAAAAGGACAAGAAATCTCTCTCTCATGCACATGCGCACATGCACACACACCCACACACCCTTGAGGTTTTGAACCTGGCTAACGAGAGGCAAGTTGAATTTGAGATGAGCTATTGAAACAAGAAATAGCCAGTAGGTAGTAGGAAATCTAAGAAAAAGATGGAATTGGAAGGGTAAAGTGGAGGAATGCTGTGGCCAGTAACTGAACATTCCTTGGTTGCAAGGGAAGAGGGAAAACTGTAACTTGGATTTAAGTGGCGGTCTAATTAGTGAGAGTGGGTTAGGTTTGGCTTCCTGGTGGCCTCAATGCAGGACGATATATAGAAATGTAAAGCTAGAAATGGTATTTGTGTAGACAGCCATTTTTTTCAAATCTTTCTAGAATTAAACAAAAACCCCACATTTTCCTTGGCTCTTTTTAGATCTCTGTCTTTCTGACCCCCTTACATTTGAGCTTTTTTCAGAGCCTGAAAACAGCTGTGCTTTTGTCAGATGTAATAATCCTGAGCATGGCATTGAAAGTGAGATCTGTGTTTATTATTGTTCTTTTATTTTCAATAGGTTAAATAAGTAAGAGGAGATACATAGTTGTATTAAGAAGGTCCTTTTTCAACACTTTCCTTTCCAGAATATGAATAGCAGCCCATTAGCAGGTCCAGATTGTGAGCACCCCAAAATCAAACCTTCTGCATCTGCCAATGCCATTTATTCTCTGGCTGCCAGGTAAGTTTTCTAAAGCAGTATTTCATATAGTGGAGTTTAAACAGTTTACCTGAAAAGAATTAAACAGTTTACCTGTAGAAAATTAAAACCCAGAGTAATATAATGGAGAAAATAAAAATCGATCTGTATTTGCACCGTGTAAAAAGTATCCTATTTTATGCTTTGGACAGTTTCTTTTACAGTTTAATGGTATTGAATACTTCACATAGTGCATCCATCACCACCATCCATCTCCATAACTCTCTTCATTTTGTAAAACTCTATACCTATTAAACAATAACTCCCCATTTCCCCTCCCTCAGTTCTTGACAACATCATTACACTTTCTGTCTTTGTGATTTGGACTACTCTAAATACCTCGTGTAAGTAGAATAATACAGTATTTGTCTTTTTGTGATTGCCTTATTTCGCTCAGCAAAGTGTCCACAAGTTTCATTATGTAATATATTGAAGAACTTTATCCCTTTTAAAGGCTGAATAATATTCCTTTGTTTGTGTATGCCATATTTTGGTTATTCATCATCAGTTGATGAACACTTGGGTTCCTACCATGTGTTAGCTATTGTAAATGATGCTTCTATGAATATGGGTGAGCAAATATCTCTTTAAACCCCACTTTCAGTTCTTTCAGGTGTATATCCCGAAGTTGAATTGTTGGATCATATGGTAATTCTATTTTTAGTTTTTTGAGGCATACTGTTTTTCACAGCATCTGTACTATTTTACATCCCCACCAATGGTGCACAAAGGTTCCCATTTCTCCAAATTTTTACCATCACTTGTTATTTTCTGGGGGGTTTTCTGTGGTTTTGTTTTTGTTTTTTGTTTTTTTGATAGTAGCCATCCTAGTAAACATGAGGTGGTGTCTCATTGTAGTTTTTTTTTGCATTTCCCTGATGATTAGTGATGTTGAACCTCTTTTCATGTGCTTATTGGTCATTTATGTATTGCCTATGAAGAAAAGTCTACCTAAGGCCTTTGCCCATTTTTTAATCAGGTTATTTGTGTTGAATTTTAGAAGTTCTCTTCATATTCTGGACATTAATCTCTTACAAAATACATGATTTGCAAATATTTTCTCCCATTTTATGGGTTGCCATTTCATTTTATTTTATCTTTATTTTTTTATCCTTATCTGAGGACATTTTTTTCATTGCTGAGAGAGAGAGAGAGAGAGAGAGAGAGAGAGAGAGAGAGAGAAACATCAATCAGTTTCCTCCCATGTGCTTCCTAACCAGGAATCAAACTCACAACCTTTTGGTTTACAGGATGACGCGCCAACCAGCTGAGTCACATCAACCAGGGCCCATGGGTTGCCATTAAAAATTTTCATTAAGTCCAATTTGTCTATTTTTTCTTTTGTTATCTGTGCCTTCGGTGTCATTTCCAAATACTTCACATAGTGTATTATTATTATTGTTCTTTTATTTTCAGTAGGTTAAATAAGGTTAATTTGGTTAACCAAAGACAACAATAGGTTAATTTGACACTACCAAATCCAATGTCATGAAGCTTTTGTCCTATGTTTTCTTCTAAGAGTTTTATTTTAGAATTTAGTTTTAGGTCTTCCATTTAGGTCCTTGATTCATTGTGAGTTGACTTTTGTATGTTGTGTTAGGTAAGATTCCAACCTCACTCTTTTGTATGTTGTTTTTTGTTTTCATTCGCTTCTTAAGTATTTTCTAAGTTCTCTTATAATTTCTTCTTTGATCAATTGGTTGTTTAAAAGTGTATAGTTTAAATTTCGACAATTTTGTGAGTTTTCAATTTTATTTTTGTTACTGATTTCTAACTTTAGTTATAGTCAGAGGTGTGACGTTGGTCTTTTTAAATCTATTGGAACTTAAATTGTGGCCTAATACATTGTCTGTCTGGAAGATGTACCATGTACACTTGAGAAGAATGATCCAAGATCAGGGTATTAGCACAGTTAGTTTCTGGTGAGGAATCTCTTGATGGCTTGCAGGTTTGCATAGAGTTCTCGCTATCACTTTGTCTTTTCACAAGAAGTACAGAGAACAACAGCAAGGTCTCTGGTGTCTCTCCTCCAGGTGCCACCCCCGCTACCCCCCTGCCCATCTTTCTTATAAGGACACTGATCCTATTGAATCAGTGCTCCACCCTTATGACTTATCCAATCTTTTTTTTTTTTTTTAAGATTTTATTTATTTATTTATTTTTAGAAAAAGGAGAAGGGAGGGAGAAAGAGAGGGAGAGAAACATCAATGTGTGGTTGCCTCTCCTGTGCCATCAGCTGAAGACCTGGCCCGCAACCCTGATATGTGCCCTATACTGGGAATCGAACCAGAGACCCTTTGGTTCGCAGGCCAGTGCTCAGTCCACTGAGCCACACAAGCCAGGGAGACCTTATCCAATCTTAATTACTTCCTCCAAATTAAGCCACACCAGGGATTAGGGCTTCAACATACAAATTTTATGAGGATTCAAACATTTGGTCCATAACAGATGTATTAGCAAAATTGCACAAATTTTGATGTCATATTTTCATTATCATTCACTTCAACATATATACTTTTGCTATTTTAATTTCCTCTTTAGCACAAAAGTTATTTATGTATTACTTGATTTTCAAATGTTGATTTTCTATTGATAGTTATCCTGTATGGCTTTCTTGCTTCATTCCAGTGTGATCAGAAACTATATTTTAACTTATGACATTTGTAGAGATCTTCTTTATTGACTAGTTTATGGTAAATTCTAGTAATATGTATCACCTTCATTTCATAAGAATGTGTACTCTGTAGTTGTTGGACATAGCATATTGACCTCATATGTCAATGAGGTCAAGTTTATTAATTGCATTCAAATCTATCTACCTCCTAATTTTTTTAACCTACGTGTTCTGTCTATCAGATACTAAGAGGATTGTGTTTAATTCTCCCCCTGTAATTGTGGGTCTCTCTTTCTTCCTGTCAGTTCTATCCATTTGTTTTGTGTATGTATTTAGTCTATGTAATTAAGGATACATAATGATTTAGAATTATTGATACTAAATAATTGTTTTTATTACCCAATTTGTTCTCTAGTTCTGCTTCTTGCCTCCATTAAGTCTGCCTTGTCTTATATTAAAATGACTATATCAGCTCTTTTTTAGTTGGTGTTTGCACGACCTTTCACCATCAGTTTTTCTGTGTTCTTATATTTAAGGTGTATTTCTTATAAACAGTATATATGTTTTTTACCTTAAATCCAGACTAGTGTTCTTTGTCTTATAATAATTGGAATGTTAATTTCTACTCTTTGTTGTTCATTTTTTACTTTTTAATTTTTACTTTCTTTAATTTTTAAATTACACTGACATACATTTTTTTAAAATAGAAGATACTTTTTTTTTTTCTTTGAAGACCAGTCAGGGTGACATACATTATTATATTAGTTTCGAGTGTACATCCCAGTGATTATACATTGTGTAACTTACTAAGTGATCATCCTGATAAATGTTTTACCCATCTGACACCATACATAGTTATTAGAATATTATTGACTATATTCCCTATGCTATACTTTACATCTCCATGACTATTCTGTAACAACTAATTTGTACTTCTTAACGCCTTCACCTTTTTAACCCATTCCTTCAAACAACACTCCCTGCCCCACCCTGGCAACCCATCTGGCAACTGTCAAAATGTTCTCTGTATCTATGAGTCCATGTCTCTTTTGCTTGCTTATTTATTTGGTTTTTTAGATTCAATTGTTGATAAGTATGCATTACCATTTTATTATTCATATTTTTAATTTTTTTTTCTTCTCCTTAAAGAAGACACTATAACATTTCATATAATACTGGTTTGGTGGTAATGAATTCCTTTAGCTTTTTCTAATCTGGGAAACTCTTTATATGTCCTTTGATTATAAATGATAGCTTTGCTGGGTAGAGTAATCTTGCTTGTATCACTTTAAAACTTATTGCCAATCCCTCCTGACCTGCAGTTTCAGTTGAAAAATCAGCTGACAGTCTAATGGGAACTCCTCTGTAGGTAACTAACTGCTTTTCTCTTGCAGCTTTTAAGATTCTCTCTTTGTCTTTAAACTCTGGCATTTTAGTTATGATGTGTCTTGGTGTGGGCCTCTTTGGATTCACCTTGCTTGAGATTCTCTGTACTTCCTGAACTTGTATGTCTATTTTCTTCACCAAGTAAGGGAATTTTTCTGTCATTAGTTTTTCAAATAAGTTTTCAATTTCTTACTCTCTCTTCTTCTTCTGGCACCCACATGGTATGAATGTTGGTATGCTTGAAGTTGCCCCAGAGGTTCCTTACACTCTCCTCATGTTTTTAGATTCTTTTTTCTTTTTGTTATTTACTGCTTCCTTATCTTCCCAATCTCTCTGATTTGCTCCCCTGCTTTATCTGCTCTTCTATTGATTCCATATAGTGTATTAATTTCAGTTAATGTATTCTTAATTTCTTACTGGTTGCTTTTTATGTTTTCTAGTTTCACTTCTGTATTTCCTGCCTCTTTGTTGAAGTTCTCACTTAGTTCATCTACTCTTTCCCTAGGTTCATTGGGCATCCTTATAATCAGTGTTTTGTCCCTGTATCTAGTAGATTTCTTGTCTCCATCTTGTTTAGTTCTTTTACTGAGGTTTCATTCTCTTTCACTTGGAACACGCTTCTTTGTCTTCTCATTTTGGCAGCCTTCCTGTGTTTGTTTCTATGTATTATGTAGAGCTGCTATGTCTTTCAGGCTTGGTAGTGTGGTCTTATGCAGTAGGGTCCAGTAGTATGTCCTCCCTGGTCACCCAAGCTGGGCAGTGTGATGCACCCCTGTGTGGGCTGTGTTTATCCACCTGTTGTAGTTGAGTCTTGATTGCTATTGGCACATCAACAGGAGTGATTTACTCCCAGGCTGATCAGCTGCAAGAACTGACTGTGACCACCAACCTTCTACTATTGTGGAGGATCGGCAGTGCAGGGCCCTACCCCACAACACAAAGCAAGACTTACTTCAGCAGGGCTCTGGTGCCTGCTATGTCT